GCGTGGCCCTGCATCAGCCGCCTCTGCTGCCTGGCGCGGCGCTGGAACCAGCTGGACCGCTCCGACGTGGCAGTGCCGCTGACCCTGCACAGCTACTCGGACCTCGAGAGTGAGGAGCCGGGCCCAGGCGGCGCCGCTTCCCGCAGGGGCCCGTCCCCTGCAGGCGCCCGGGACCCCGGCCGGGACGTGCCGCTCACTCAGTACCAGCGGGACTTCGGCGTGTGGACGGCGCCCGCGGGGCCCAGAGATGCTTCGCAGGGGCGCGGGTCGGGTGCGGGCGGCCGCAGGAACAAGCCCCCCGCGGCCCCTGGCCGGGGTGTCTACGTGCTCCCCATCGGCGACGCGGACTCGGCTGCGGTAACCACGTCTTACAGGTATGGGGCTTCGGGCAGGGGAGCGCGTCGAGTCGGGACCCCGTGGTAGGAGGAAACGGAGGCCGTGAACCATGAGGACCAGCTTGGTGGGGAGGGAGAAGGCACCTGGAGCCTCCATCCCACAGCACTTGGAGAGCTGTAGGCGGCCTCGGAGGTCCTCCCCTTTGGTCCCCGGGCACTGCGAGATGTCGCCTTCGCTGTTCCCTGACCAGCCTCAGAGTGAATGAGTGAGCACCTCTGCTGCTGACAGGGAGCTCACTACCTTGCTCACAGCCCCCTCCCCTCTCCCTCTCTGGGGCAGCCCTACCAGAAAGCCCTGCCTTCAACTGAGTTAAAATCGGCTTTAACTTCCACCAGGTGGGCTAGCGAAAGGCAGGGTGCGTGCAGGCCAACTGCCAGAGCTCCCCCTGCCCGGTGCCCTCCGTGGAGGCATTGGTGGTGAGGACCAGCCGGGGCTCCCAGTAGATGGCCCCCTGGGGATCTCGCCACGTGACTGAGCTCTACGGGTCCACCCTGCCCCCACCTTAGCTCTGGCCCTGGACAACTGAGGGCTTTCTTCTTTGTCTTATTACAAAAGTAATATAAACTCACTGTAGAAAAACTGGAAATTACAACAAATTAATTCCTTTAACCTCACCCAAACTGGTAGTTCTTTCTGATCCTTAACCCTTGAGTTCATATCCATTTGTAATTCTTATAGGTTTAGATTCTGTACACATTTTTCCATCAATTTTGGATTTTTGCATGTTACTAGATATTTTTTTTACAACACGAATTTTAGTAGATGTGCAGTGTTCTATCCTAGGGATATACATTTGTCCATATATTGATATATATGTCCAATTATTAATCTGTCATTATTGAATATTTAGGATGTTTCTAATTTGGGACCATTAAAAACACTTCTTTTGATCCAGTACTTCATTTCCAGGAGTTTTCCTTGCAAGTATCCTTGAATGTGGGGTGGGAGTTAAGGAATATAAGGTATGTTGCAACACTGTACTGCAGAAGCTGGAAACAATCCCACCGTCCTACTGATGTAGCTGGTTAATTATAGCTCTACCATAGGATGGGCTACTGGGAGGCCTACGATGTACTCATAGCGGAAGGTCTGAAGATCTTGGATGGGTACGTGTCAAAAAAACAAAATGCAGAACAGTGTGTCTGCTGTTTGTGTTTTTAAAAGGGGATATTGATATACACGTATCTGCTCAAATAAGCACAGATATCTCTGGATGGATGTGTGGAAACACAGGAACCTTTGGGGAGAGGAAGGGAGTGGGGAGGAAGGGATGCTGCCAGGGGTGGAAGGGCACTGACTGACTTCTCACCCTCTAAAGAACTGTTTTTTTAAACATGTACACGTGTCACCTTTAAAAAAACGCATTTTTAAGGGAAAAAAATAATTTCTGTGATGAGCATCTTATAGCTAGCCGTCTATGCACGTATCAGTTTCTTTAGAAATTCTGACTTGTGGAATTAGAGCAAAAAGGTATGAACTTTCCCCCTCAGTTTTATTATTTTTAAAATCAACTGTATTAAGGTAGAATTTCCATAGAGTAATTATCAAGACAGGTAGAAGGTTCCATCTCCCCATGGCTTCCTTCATGGGCATGCAGTTTTTTTTTTTTTTTTAAAGATTTTTTATTTATTTATTTGAGAGAGAGAGAATGAGAGACAGCATGAGAGGGAGGAGGGTCAGAGGGAGAAGCAGACTCCCTGCC